CAGTCTGATTAAATCAAAAGATTTCTTTCATAATTATACTTTAATTTTCTCACTCCTATTCCAACATAGGAATGCCAAAGACACAGAAAAATGGTTACTTTTTTTGGAAGGATAATTTAATTATTAATGGGTTTTGAAGGTTTGGGCATAAAGCACTACAGGTTCAGGAGGGGGGCTAATCTGATATACTTAGAGTAGGTGTTCAATAGGTATGCTTTGACTAAATAACATGCAAGGTAGAACCTTAGTAAGCGAAGTTTAAGATGCAAACAGGAGGCTGCTTTCCCTTTAATTTTTAAACATTTTTTTAACTTGCTAGGTTTTAAACTATCAAGTGAAAAAGTACCCTTACATTTCCCAAACCAAAGTATTGCTTGAAAAAAAGTTATACATTTCCTTGAACTTCTTGTTTTTCATTTTAAAGATTTTATTTATTTATTTTTTAGAGAATGGGGAAGGGAGGGAGAGAAACATCAGTGTTGGGTACTGGCCTGCCACTCAGGCAAGTGCCCTGACTGGGCATTGAACCAGTAACCGTTTGGTTCACTAGCCTGTGCTCAAAACTCACTGAGCTAGCTACACCAGCCAGGACTCGAATTTCTTGCTTTAAATGGGTGTGCAGTTATTTTTAGCATCACCCCAGGATTTTCATGTAATGAAGATCTCTCTCTTGGATTAAAACAACTGTGCAATTATTATGAGCACTTACACTTAATGTGGCCCTTCAGTGAATTATAGACAGAATTTCCAGTATGACTCCTTGATTTTAAAAAAATGTCAAAAATATTTTGACAGAAATAACCACTGCCATCATGAAAATGTAGAATTGGTTTATCTACAAAACATGAATGTTGTATGTGTAGATTGTTGTAGAGCTGAGTAAGAATGGGTATTTGAGATATTTAAAGTGTTGTTTCTATGAATGCATTTCAATTGTTATTGTTTCCTTTAAGGTGTGTTGAATTTGGCCCTGGCTGGTGTAGCTCAGTGGACTGAGCATGTGCCTGCAAACCAAAGGATCATGGTTTGATTCCGTCAGGGCACATGCCTGGGTTTCAGGCCAGTTCCCAGCAGGGGAACGCACAAGAGGCAACCATACATTGATGTTTCTCTTCCTTTCTTCTTCCCTTCCCCTCTAACGATAAATAAATAAAATCTTTAAAAAAAGAGATGTGTTGAATTTGATCTTAAATATAGTATCAAAATTTGCTAACATGTATCACAGGGCTTCTTTTGCTAAGAAAAATGAATGAGAATAAATAAAATATTTAATAAAATAAACCAGATACAAATTCTTGCTTTGTATTTACAGATAAATTTTAATGGAATATTCATGGTCTAACACAAATATCAGACCCAATGACACTAATTCTTGTACAGCCTTTGGCTTACCCTGTATAACAAAATCTGTTATTTAAAGTAGATTATAAAATACCTTATGGTAAGTGAACTTCCAAAGACACAAAGAAAATCCTCCATAAATTTAAAAGCTTATCTCAAATTCTTATTCGCATAAGCTTAGGATGGATATATTATTAATTGCATTATCTTAGGTAGTTGAAATGTATAATACTGGAGTGTAAAAATTAAAAAAAATAGGTTTAGGTATTTGCTTCTGTTCATAGTCAACATTATTAAACAGACATAAGTGAATGTAAAATTACAGAGTTTTGAAATTTTGGCAATTGGAAGCAAATTTCCCTAAGTCAGAAACGTTGTTTAACCCTTAGTCAGCATATTACAAGGTTCACATATTCCAAGGAGTAACGACTAAATGTTGTACAAATAAGATAACATGTATTTTATTACTGCTTAAATTTTTTAAACTTTCATTTAGAAACTTACAGGAAAATGAGCATCATTGAGGAAATCTAAAATGAAGAATGCTGTATGCACTTCAAAATAGAACAATGCAAAACAATGCCTGGCATCAAGGAATGCGTTTTATAAATCTTTTATAACCTGCCAGTGGGAAAAAAGAAAGTTCCATCTTTCAATGTCTGTTTTCAAGCCTAAGAAAATGAACTAAATGAACAGACAATTCAGTAATGTCCAACAGATAACTAAAATTCAAATTTTATTTTTCCATATAGATATATATTGGACAGTTTTTTTTCTGACAAGACTTTATTGAAAAATGAAGTGCAAATGGGAACCCTGTAAGAATGTTTTTAAGAGTTGTACATGACATAGTTTAAGCATCACTAAGTACACATTGAATACTTTGTAAGTATATAGGCATATCAACATGCAAGTGTCATGTACCTAATATTACAATATGCATTTTGTTTTTTGAACATGTTAATGGTAACAGTATATTCAATAACTGTGCAGTAGGCTCAATTTTGATGGATCTTCTTTACAACATATAATTTATTTTTATGCTATCATAAATATACCCTTCCAAAAGCTATGAGTTTCATATCATAGAAATAGAACATCATATTTTTGAAACTATATTACTGGAAACACCTGCATTTCTTGAGTACAATTTTCAGAGATAAGTTTTTAAATTCTTTTTAACATGGCAGACTTGTTCCAATGTTGATTATATTGAAATGTTTATGATAAAAAATGGAGCTTTCTTGAGGGAATATTGTTTGGTTGAATGAAAAGCAAAACAACCAATTCACAAATATTGATGTGAACTGAATATGAAGAAAATAGGTTAGTAATTACAAACTCATACATCCTTGGGTTACTACTTAACTGCATCATTGAATCTACAATAGGTACAACAAGTACAATTGAATAAATTTGTAAGGAAATTAAAACTTCATACATTTATAAGGAGAAAAAGTACTAGTTTTGAAAAATGTCTAAATTATTTTTCTATTTATGAGTATGTTTCAATACATTAGAAACACAGAGAAAAGTAAAAAGGATAAAGAAATAATTCAGTTTACATTTCAAAGTTTTTTTTCCTAACCAGCTGGTGACCACTGCTTTCAATCATCAAACATTTTATTGCATATAACTTTCACTATCAACAAATATAAAGAGAAAAGTGGCTACTAGTATCATGTACAAGGAAAAGCATCTGAAGAAAGAAAATATCTGAGGTTTGACAGTACTGTGTGTAAGAGAAGCGTAATGTGACATTTCATACCGCACTTGAAAGTCCATGTGGGAATCACTGCTGTCCTGACCCTGGATGTGGGAAAGTGCTTAAGTGCCGAGCCCTGGTAGGTTTTTCTTTTGCCCCTGCAATCTTCAAATATCTTTTAATTTTTCTTCTTTTGAAATATACAGCATATTTCATAGAGGGAAATAGTGGGTTTATTTTTTTACATCTTTTTCACATTGGGGGCCCATTCTCTCCAAAATAACCATACATTTCTTGCAACTAGCATATACATATATATGTGTGTATATATATGTATATACATACACACGCACATATATGAAAGATATTATAAAGATTAGATCAAATACAATTTATAACATAACCACATAACACAGAAACATCTTTAACTTCAAGCATATACTATAGATTCAATGTCATAATTTGTTTTTTCTTGTACTTTTTTCGAGAGGAAAATCTGCTTTTGAAATGTCATTTCCTTTTAGAATAATTAAATTACACCATTTGAAAAATTGATGTGTTTGTGCAGACAAAATAAAGTGGCCATTTGTGGCAATATTTTGCATTCATTATTTAGATATTATTTTTTAATAAGGAGCCAGTCTTAAATACTTATATTTTTGTCTTACCTAGATAACACTGCTTGGCAAAATAAACTATATTTATAATTTTTAACTTAAAAGCATAGCATTAATTTATAAGGAATTGTACTTTAAATATTAAATAAATAGATTGGACTGCAAATTGTTGCCATTTAAATTATTTGAAAACATCAACACAATTATAATACATTGCAATATTAAATAAGCATGAGAAGAGCCATCTTTATAAAGTTATAACATTTTGCCTACAGTAAAAGTTGATGATAAAAAAAGAAAAACACAGGCAGACTCACACACTGTTGAATACACTAAAACAAGTTGGCTTTTGAGAATCCCCAGGGCGTGGGGAGCAGACTGTTATGTTAGCCTCCAATGAGTGCTTCCTGGGATACCTTGTAAATAATTATTTCTTCTATTTATACTGAAGTATCATAGCCCATGTTAAAAGTGAGAGGTAGGATTATTGTAAGTATGCATGGCAGAGAACTTACCAACTATATCCAATAACTATTGCATTCAATATTAATAATCTCAACACATAAAAATGCTGATCAGTTTAGAACCCATTCTTATATGGTATCCCCTTTAGCTCTGTTTATAATCTTGCTATTTTCAATCCATTGCCTTTGGAAGGGTATAATTGCAAAGGGCATGTTTGGGGTAGCATAGGGAAGGGGGGAAAATGAATAGAAAAAGAAAAGATATAAAAAATGTCCACTAAAATATAGTGACGTTACCTATGAAAGGTAACCTATGATTTGATTGGATAAATTTGTATTTATAAATGAAAGTCCCCAAATTCATTAAAACATACAATCATTTCAAAGAATGTCTAATAATTATAAATTGAATTAGATAGAAATAAAAGTTTCTTTTTCTCTAGTAAGGCTAAAACCTGAGCCAAATAATTTTATTTTGTAATGTTAATAATTATGAAAGAAAAACATCATTTAGCTGAGTCGGTTGTACTTTTAAGTAATGATTTAGAATGTGGGAGGTGAAGGTGAGCAACCCCTTGGATCTTGCTGAAGAATTCTTTAAAATCCCTTTGTATTAAGTATCCAGCAATAGAATTGTAGGTATTGCACTGAGTATATTTCAATATTGCCAGTGTATATTTCAAAACAAATTCTATTATCTACACTAAGATTTCCTCTTTCCCAATATTCAAAATGCATATTATAATTACATGGGTTTCGAACATCCATAAACAGCAAGTACAAGATACTTACATGTACGTACACTGTAGTTACCTATATGTTGCATAGTTTTTAGTGTGTACTTTGTGCCACTTAATAAAAAGCATTACTCAGTAATTGTCACTAGGTGTTTCATTTATTTCAGCTGTCATTGCCAATTGGACTTGTTTGTTTTTATATATTTGTCACAGGTTACATTTGCAAAGGGGGGGTAATGTTGGGCATTTTTAGAGGGCTCTGAGTAATTAGCATTATGACAAGGAAGTTGCAGTAAGATAGAAGTTTTATATTTTCTCCACAATTAAAAACCTAATATGAAATTTCATCTTTAGTGTACATTAAATTATCCTTTAAGTCCAAAGTAAAGTATTTTAAATGTTCCCCTTGTAACACTTTGCAATAAGTGGCACTATATTATACAATAACTGCTATATTACATGGAAGAACCATCACTGTCGACTAACTGCTGTACATGTGCCTATATGGAATCTCAATGCTATTACAATCGTGAGTACATAATTACAAGTGAACCTGTCCTTTTATTTGAGATATTTATATATTTTTACAAAAAAATTAAAAATAAATGAGGTGTTAGCTTCTTTGCTATGTTTAGGAAAGTTAGTTTTTCTTTCTGTATTTTTTACTTTAGTTGTGGGGTTTCATTGCAAGATTGAACATCTTGAATCAATATGATACTACCCAGTTTTTAGATTAAACTCCAATGTCAAGTTCCTTAAACTACCTCTTGAATTCTCTAGTAAGAGAAAACAAGTTGAAATCAATCTCTCTCTCTCTCATTCTCTCTCACTCCCCCCCCACACATACACCTCAAAACTCTGCTCATGTTTTCTGTCTTTGCTCTTCCGCTCACAAACTTTCCTTTTTCTTCCTAATTTTGATAATTTTTCTATCTAGGACACTCAAAAACAGAAAAAAAAAACAAGAAAAAAATGTTGCTTACACTTTTTTTTTTGATGAAGGACAATCAGTTTACACTGTAAACAGTACACTGGCAGAGAATAGCTACTTTTGGTAAAAAATAATGTTCCATATTCTACTAGGGCCGTTTGCAAGTCTGTATGTGCATGCATACTCCTTCCACTGAGTTCTGGGGCTCCTGTGCTCACTGAGCAGAGACAGAATTTGGTTCTCTGTGCATAAAAGTGTGCATGGTTTGGACATTGAATTTGACAGGGTTCCATTTAAAAATGGTATTTCATTTTATTCTGGAATTTATAGAAATAAGCAAAGATTTTTATATTTTATTTTTGATGGTTGAAAATAAAGTAATTTAAAAAACAGGAAAATATAATTCCATTGCCTTTTTTCAGTAACTAAAATGATACCTAACCTATCTATTTTAACTGGTGAAATATTCAATTAGAGCTTGCAGATCACAATATACCAGTTGGTTTGTTTTAAAGAGTTCTAAAGGGTTTTTATATTACTCTGAAAGGTTAAAGAATCAAAAAATCTTGAAAGGCAACCAATTTTGGATTTCTACTTTTACAGTGTTGGAAATAATGAGTCATTTATTTAAGCAGTAATTAAGCATCAGGAGCCAAGTAGAATATAGACAAAATGAAGAGAGATTTAAATACAACATTAATGAATAGGAGCAATTTTGTAAGTGCATTTTGAAATTAGGCTTTAAGTAGTAATTGATGATGGAGTTTATACAATTTTTGTAATAAGAAACTTTCCATTTGTTCTAACAGGATGAATTTTGCTTTGTGGCGTCTTTCTAAAGATTATGCTTTGAAAGATATGAACAGTTTATAAACCTATTCTAGTTTCAATGTGTCTAGTAGCACCTACCCGATTCTCTCAAACTACCATACTATATTAACATATTATTGCATTTTTCCACAGATGGTATGAATTGAACTGTAAAAACAAGCATGCAATCACATCAATGCAGACTTATTTCCTTAAAATGCCATACTGTATATGATTTATTATGTTAACACTCAACCACATCATATTATTTATGTTTTGTATATTCTGAAAAAGTGCTGCTTGACTGACATAATCCTTTTTCTTTTTTGTAAGAAATAACAAGATAAATGCTTCCACAATAAAAAGAAAACAATTTAAAATTCTAACATTGTATTTAAAAGATTTATACTTTTCTGATAAATAATCTAAGATACAGCACCCTTGTCTTTCATTTGATATTAACATATGATGTCATACTTGAACATTCTCAATTCCCCAAAGCAAATTCCAAGATATTGTTTTTTAAAAACCATAGGCCATCATGCTTTGACATCACAAGTAGAGCTACCGTATTGTCACACTTGTTTTCTTCTGAAAGGTGCAATGCTTGTGAATGGGAAAACAATTTTTATCTAACTGGATTTTTAATCTTTAGCATATAATAAATTGAATGGGAACTAATCTAACAATATCGTATTTTACTACAAGAAATAATATGACTTTAGATGAACTCTGTGTCATATTTAAGGATACAGCATTTCTTAATGGTTAAATACACCAAAATTTCAGAAATAATCCAGAGAAAGAGACTTTCACCTTGGAGGTAAAAGCATGGCAGAAATTCTCTATCACTCACTGTTTCATAAGTTTGTACCTCACAAAATGCATAGACAGGAATTTAATATAAAGAATTAGTTCATCTATACATAAAACATATCTTAAACACTTGTTTTTGGCAAACCAACATAGGTAAGCAGCTATGGAACTGCCAAATTAAAACTTGAAAATTTTTTAGCAAACTAAGAGTTTATTTTTAGGTTATTATTCTATTGTGGTTGTAATTTAAACCTGAGGCTGTGCACTGGTTGTTAGCTTAAAATTACCTTTCCTTATAACATTGTGCTTCCATTGTATAAGAAATAAAAATTAACAAGAACTAGAAAAATTTGTTGTTGAACAGTGCTAGGACATACAGACAAAATACTAATACATGTTATCTACTTATAATATTTGTTTAAGTAATATCTAAAGGGATATAATGGACATTAGAAAATGCTCACTTATGATTGAACTACCTACAGCCCAAAAAAGTTGAATATGTATCAAATAATGTTTAATTGGATTTGTTATATGCACTATATACAGATACTAAAATGTCTCAAAATTGTGCCCTATGGATACTTCGATTTTGTTTAGGAAGGTGAATCCTGTGGAGCAAATAAATTACAGAATGAAACTGGAAAAATGAATGAAATCTTTGTGATTCCCAAGCAGTAAAATGTTTGTAATAATTTATTAGTAAATGAAGCTAAAATAACCTAATGGTGGGATCTATACAATTATATAAGGTACCATGATAGGATTACAATTCATACACATGGCTCCTGTATCAAATACTATATTTTTAAATAGCAAATTGATACAGCCTTACCAGTATATCGCAAACAATCCAGAATCTATACTACAGTGTTTTCAGTTTGTGTTTTCTAGGGCATATGTTTCCAAACATGCCTTGGAAGGGAGACATGTAGAAAACATTGTCTGTAAACTTTTAATGTCTGATTAAACTTAAGCACATTAGCTCTTTACCTAATTCTGTTTTTTTGTGAAGCTGTCCAATGGCAAACTAAGCCCATGATTTACAGGGGGTGAAAATAAGGGGGAACAAACAAGAAAAACTCTGCATACACTTTTTTCAATGTATAAAAACAATTCAATATCATGATCCAAGGAGATTATTAACATTGTTAAGGCTGTATATTCAAGCACTGTATGTTAAAAGAGCAATGGTGTGGAATTTAGGCAGTAAGAAATGTCCTGCATTATGGATGGTACAGTGATTAAAGAATGATGCCTCCGGCAGCTGATTGCTGGTACACCCTGGCTACTGACAGCAGTACGGTATGGAAGTTAATAAAGGTAGCAGAAGATGGTAGAAAGGAATTCTGAAAGATGAGAGCCAGTTTTCTCCAGCAGCCAGCCCAGTAAGTAAAACTCAGAATCTTGGCCTGCATTTTAAATGAAATATTCTTTTTTCTCCTCAGCATTGACTTGGCTGCCTTCAGCATTGATAATGGCTGTGTCAGCATCTGGTGCATCTTCAGCTCCTTTAGCTTCATTTGTTAAATACGTTCCTGTGGATATGGTAAGAAAAATATGTTAGTTCTGTGAGACTGGTAAATAGCCAGCATTAAAGCTACATTCATTTAGTACGGGACTTATGCCAGCTTTCTTCCATGTTGGAAACCTATTCTGAGGTGCAATAAAGCACACAATCCACCCTTCTAAAGTTGCATACTTTCTTTCAGCTTTTAGGTAAAAGCTGTAGATAAAGCTGTGGCCAGATTAACCAGAGGTAACAGCCAAACTGGAGTGGGTAATGAGTACTCAGATTACTTTTTTTATTTGCATCTTAATTCTTTTTTTAAATTATTTTATTGTTGTTCAATTACAGTTGTCTGATTACTTTAATGATGGATACAGACCATGTAATCCATGCAGCTGTAGCAATCAGTCTCCTTTGTTAAGATGCTGATAATGATCACATCCAATGTGCCACCATTCCTTTCTGGTAACTCCATTTGAAAGTAGATTATATCAATAGTTTGCTACCTAGCCCATTGCAAAAAAAAACCCACAACCAACTTTTCTATCCCTCACTAATATGGACACATCTGTGTCCATAAACCTACAAACAGAAATAATGAACAAATGCTTAATGGTATAGTTGAATTTCAGTTCTAGACATAAGTCATGAAATTGCTTCCATTTTTTCTTAACTAGTTACTTACTCTGTGACCTTTGGCTATTGGCTAAACATTATTTTGCTAAGCTAGTTTAACTTTAAAGTTGAGTAAAATTAAGAATTTCCTGAAATAATTCAGCATTTAGATCACAATCTCTCCCTTTTCACCCTCTCTCTTTCTCTCTCACACATACACTCATATATTTCATGGTAAAGCTAGTCTTTAGAATTTTTTTGCCCTGGCTGGTGTAGCTCAGTGGATTGAGCTCGAGCCTGCTAAGAAAAGGATCAAATTTCAATTCCCAGTCAGGGCACATGTCTGGGTTGCAGGCTGGGTCCCCAGTAGGGGACACATGAGCGGCAACCACACATTGATGTTTCTTTCCCACTCTTTCTTCCCCCTTCCCCTCTCTCTAAAAATAAATAAATAAAATATTTTTTAAAAAAGAATTTTTGGGTCAAAGTTAAGAATGCTTTATTAAGGATTCTTTACCTTTATGTCTTGCCAGATACCGACCGAGCAGGAATATAGAACACAATGTGACAAACACAACTACAGCCACTATTCCTCCTATAAGGGCGTGGTCAGGGCCGGTCTGGCCAGCCAGAGCACTGGGGTCTAAAAAAGAGAGGGAAACATTGCTTAAGTTTGTGTTCTTTAGACATAGAGTACATATATGCATTTAGAATGAGTTACTGGAAATTAACACATCTATATTAAAATAAAGTGTTATTAGTGTATATTATACCAATCATCTAGTCAACAAATATTTATAGTGTATCTATAATATTTAGTGTGTCTATAGCATACTGATACCTGAGGACATGACATTTTATACATCAATCACTGTTGCTATTGAGTTGACAATTTACAGACTGAATAAACAGATACAAATATATGGTTTTTCCTAGTTTTATGCCTTTCTTTCCTCCTTTTCTTCAACTGAAAATATATGTGTACATATTTTTTCATGAGAGGAACACAACTGTACTGTACAATTTTTTAAATAAAATTATGTCTTGGGAAAGGATGAGGACAAAGATGATAACTTGGGATTTATTATTTTGTAAATGTTATTTAAAACTATGAAAACTGATAAAGTCCCTAAAACAGTGGGTCTAGATGGAAGAAAAGTTCTGAAAAATGAGCTCTGAATTTAAAATTTTGGAAGATGGAGTGTTTCTAGCAGAGCAGACTGAGAAGGAGAGACCAGGGCAACAGAAAAGATGCTCGAGATTACACTCGAGCTGATCAAAAGGATGAATGTATTTCAAGGAGAGGAAGGTGTTACAAATTGGGTTAAGAAGTATTGATAGAGGAGGAAAATGAATGCTCAGCATTGAGGATTAAGTGCCTGTTGCACTTGTGGCTGTAGAAGAAATGGTTGGAAAGATATAGATTAATAATATATTTTTATATTCTGCCTTTTACATGAGGCCAGAAAACTGTAGCCAGTTTTCAAGCAGAAATGGGAAAGATCAAAAGAAAGTCCAGACACTGAGGTACTCAAAGGTTCAGAAAATCAACTATTTACAGAATCCATAGTATGAAATAAAACTAAGTGAAGGGTTTAGCAACAAAATTCACCAAGGCTCAGCTCTATAGCAAACATCAGATTGAATGCACTGCCTACCCTTCCAAGCCCATTGTTGCAGATAGGATCAGAGTAGCTGCTTACAGTCTAAAACAGGGCTTTAGAGGAGGGAAAAAATGAAGAAATAAATTAGGCTTGGCAATTATGCCTTCAAAATATCTTGAATACAGCACATAGGCACACGAATACAGCCCATAGATTAGGAGTATTCTGTGTTTTTGATAGAACTATCGTGTCCAAGAAATATATGTCTACATAGAAAGAAAAAAAGTCCATTTGAAATTTCAACTTCTTAACTCCCAAACTTAAAGAAAGCAAGAAGTGGGCTATACAAGCTATGTAGTCCCCATGGAGGGCATATTCTCAAACACTCAGTTCGGAGGTAGTCACTGGGTATGACTTACAAGGTTGAATTTTGCATAGTATAGAATTAGGGGAAGTAGAAGAAAAATGAACAGAGGAGAATCCTGTTTCTGCAACTCGTTACAACTATTGCCAAGGCAGAGGGATCTTTTAATGCCAGTCTGACATGTTTCCATAATTGCTAAGGATTGATGACTTCTCAGTGTTTGCCATTCTCCCTTTATTTCTAAATGGAAGCATTTATATTAAGAGGAGCTTCTCCTGGCTTTGTTCTATGATTGTGTTTTGTGTATGGGTGGAGACAAGCACTAGTCTTTTGACTCATTTGTTCCTTAACTAATGAACCCGGGTGTGATGAAGAGGATTTTGTCTATCCATGATCTTGGTCTTCAAGTTCAATATATTGGTTTGACAGGTCTTTAGGTTGGCTCTTCGGATAGGTTCCAGCAGTGGTTTATGCAAGGGAAATGACATGAAAAGACATTGGTGGTCAGAAAGGTATATTGGGGCAGAGATTTCTAGCTGATAACAAGCTTGTTTCCTATTCTTTCAATGATGGAGCTAAACATTATGAAAGTCATCTGCAGTTGAAAGGGACCATATGATTTGTGTTCCAGCCAATTGAATGAAGGCCCAGCCAATAAAACCTCCCACATGTAACCCTGTAGAGTGATCTCAGATGATACAAGTTGAAAATGAGAGAGCCCTCAGAATAAGTAAGGTTATGAGTCAATAAATCTACCCCGGAAGAAAATACCCAACTAAGAATACATGCATTGAACTGCATTTTTAAAAAACAAAGTTATTTTTAAAAGACTGAGCATTAATTAACTAGTTAATCTGTTATAGGAGTTATTGTTAATTTAGCATTTTATTATATATTTCTTAACTTTTTCCTTAATTTCTGGCATTGGTTGGAAATCTACCAAAAAAAGTGTCGAGGGAGCAAAAAATAAAGCTGCCACACCTCCAAATTTCCTATTTTTCTTCCATGCTCAGATAGTTCAGAATCAGTTTCAAATTACAACCCTTGCTTGGGTCCCCAAATATAGATTGTCATAAATCATATCTATTTTATTTGCTGAATGTATCTCAAAACAGATTCTTTTGGAGAACTGAGGAATTATTCTTGCTCATACATATCAGTACCTGTCATATTTACTGAAGATAAATTCTAAGAAGTGATATTGCTGGATCAAATGGTATAACATTTTTTGAGTCATTTGAAAAATATTGCCAAATTATGTGGCAGAAAGATGGTATAAATTCAGTCTTCACCAACTGCACCTGAGTGAATTTTTCACTATGTAATACTAATATCAGATATTATAATTTTTAAACAAATGCCAAACTAATATTAAAAAGTATTAAGTATTTTGTTTATTAAATAATTTTAACATAAATGTCTTTAAATGCTTTTCCCCATATTGTTTAATTAATTTTGTCTCTTTATGCAGTTTTGTCTATTTTTCCATTTTAATTTTGTTTTAATCTCTCCAGGAAAAAATGAAGAATTTTAGAAATTTCTATTTGTTCTTTTTCTTTTTTAAAAAATTTGTTCTTTATCTATGGTCTTTTTAGTCATAGAAAAATCTTACAACTTTATGTCATCAAATCTATCAAAATTTTGTATCATGATGCCTGATTTGTCAGTCATGACTGGAAATACTTTGCCATGAAAACGTTAGGTCGCAACTAGAAATGAGTGGCCAGAGGGGCAGTAAAGGCAGTACCCTCACCATCACAACCTGACAAAAAACTTAATACAGGAGGCTTGAAGCAAAAGGAAGACATGTCTCACCAATTAACTCAGCATTCTGAGCTCAGCTTGTTGAGATTGCCAGGTGTCTGAGGAATTACAAGCAAAATAGCACAGGAGAAAGGGGAGTCCTTGAAACTCTACTAAGAAGGGGGCTTCTGTAACAATCTCACTAAGATTGCCAGTTGTCCTAAACGTCATGAAAAGAAAGAAAGTGGGTATTCCTTGAGATTATGTCCTGGGAAAGGGGGCCTCTATAATAATTTCACTAAGACAAAGAGGTTTTACTAACAGAAAGAAAGCCTCTGTAGCTATAGAGGAGGGGTCCCTCTAGAAGCCAGCTGAGGTATATAATCCCAATCCTCAACAGTTGGGGTAATTGCATTAGGTAAGTACCCACTTGTAGGGCTCAAGTGTATAGAACGAACTCACTAACTTACTAACAACTTTCTTTCCCCTTATATGTGTGGCATTTAGACATAATGGGTGCCTCCTTGCAGCTCCCAGGTTGTGTACTACATAAATAAACTTGCTATCTAATTTCCACTATATGTGTCTGTCTCCTGCTGGAACTATTCTCTTGCTGGTGAGGCGAGAACCGAGGTGGGGGAGGGTAGAGCCTCCTGACTTGGGTCTCTCTCCCCATCTGTAACAATAAGATAATGCATACATAGATTTATGGCATCATCTAACACATATTATCATCTAAAAATATATCTTAGTCTATAATTTGAAGTATAATATATATTTTGTATTCTTGACATTCAGTTGTTCCCACACTAATTTTTCATCAATATTTTTTGGGGGGGCATAAACTCTGAGATCTGTCCAGAAGGTATCCAGTCATGCAATATGAAAAATAGAGACATTTACTTAAAAAGATACTAGATACAAGAAACATTGTACATAGAACAATGACACCTCAGTCCCCTTCAAAGTGGGCATTTTGGGATCTCACACAGTTCTCCCAATCACCATGGGATGCCAAACATATTCTGAATCTCACGGATGGTCTGAAATCTCTTCTCTTTCAAAAGCGATTTGAGTTTTGGGAAAAGCTAGCAATTGCAGGGGCCAGATCTGGGCTATAGTGGGGCCAAGTCACCTGGGTGATCTGATGTTTCACCATAAAAGTCTGCATGGGACATGATGCATGAGCAGTTGCCTTGTCATGAAGAAGCTGTCAATCGCCAGTTGCCCATAGCTGCGGCTATCTGAATCATCTGAGTACTTTCCATGGAGGAATGTACAGCTTAATGCAAAATTTGGTGCAGATTCCTTGCTTTACTAGCTCAGTTACTTGAAATGTGATGGCCACACCATACTCATGCTCACTCAATGGCATCTACCATCCCTACTGCCTAGTACAGTGAAGTTGTCATTGTTCACACTTGTGAATTCCAGTCCACTCTCCTTGGCTTCCAGGTTACATCAATGTCAAATAAACCATTCTCATTATATTAACAATGAGTAGTACTTTTTCCAGACACACCTCAATAATATCCATGTATTTTTTATGTTTCTGCATATTCTAATATAGGATTATCCTACATATAGAATATGCATATTCTGCATATTCTATATATAGGATTTATATATGCAATTCTACACTAGTATTGTCATTTTAAAAATAATTTTAATACCCTGAAAGACAAATTTTAGATCACATTCAGAATAGTTTTTCATGAAATGAAAACACACTAGAATATTTACCACAATTTTACTAATTTACACATAGATTTTTTAATAAAGTGCATTTTCCATGTTCATAGTATAATGATATGGATCATTATTCCATTCTTCAATAAAGATTCAATTATTGAAATCTTTAGCGTGTTTTAGTAAGTTGTGCGATTTTTTTGATAAATGCCTGCATATTTTCTTTAGTTATTTTTAATTTCT